CATGTGACCCTTGCATCAGTCTGCCATACAGTTTCAAGAAGAAGGTAAAGACTGTTGAGTTAGCTGAAGGCTGGGCAAATACATGCCTATTAAGATCATGTGCAGGAATTACAGAGAGATACGTGGAAAGAAGGCTAATTCTGTTTTGGAACAAAAAATAAAAACATAATATCTACTTTCCCGATAAGTGGCTTTAAACCATTCTCAGATACCTACACTTCATAAATCTGGAGGGTTTCAAATGGCCTAATTCCTTCCAAATAAAGACTAAATATTCAACACACACTTATATTGTTCCTATTCAATTTTCATTCTTTGTTTAGAACCTACAGTTTAGAAACAAAGAAGACAAGGATGTAACAAATCCCATTTTTTGAAGTTTATTCCTAAATTGAGGAACTGACTTTTGTTTTTGCTGAAATGGCATTTGTGTTAGGTGTGTCCATTCCAAACAAGCTGTAAGAAATCACCTCTGCTAAGGATTTAGAAATGCAAGTGCTATTCTTTTCTAAATAACTCAAAATTCTATTCTATCCTATTACCTAGAACCAGCACAGTAGCTGGCAAAAATGTATCCAACATAGTATTTGAAGACTGACTGACATAATGAATGACTGGTCTAGGGAAGGCAGCTCTCCTTTCTGCAGGAACTGGTAGATTTATTAGTTTCCAAATCTTCAGGTTAGATCACATTCCTTATACCCATGATCTCACCTGGACTCTGGTAAATCATCTTTTTATCACAAACAGAAAGCCCTTAACTCATCAAGAAGACTTTGCAGCAAGACTAGTAAAGGGAAAAGAAGAAACAGGGTCTCCCTGGTGGTGCAAGGGTTTAAGCACAGCACTGTGAAGCTATCCACAGCCTCTGCAGCATGAGTTTGATCCCAGTCCACCAGGGAGCTACCCACATGGCGCAGCAGACCTTTCCTGTCTTGCCCACTGCTCTCCTCAGCAGTGTATTTCAGTCAGTCTGCCTGTTCTGCCCCCACTCTCTGGTGAATCCTCTCACTGTACCCCACCCCGTACCTCTGGCCTGTACCCTAGTTCCTGTATGAGTAAATAAATCTAAGAAGAAGAAGAAGAGGAAGAGGAAGAGGAAGAGGAAGAGAAGAGGAAGAGGAAGAGGAAGAAGAAGAAGAAGAAAGAATAAGAAGAAAGAAGAAGAAGAAAGAAGAAGAAGAAGAAGAAGAAGAGGAAGAAACAGGATCAACATTCCATTTGATCCCTGCATTCTCTGTAGAAAATCAGGGTTTATGTCAGTAAGTGGAATGTTGAAAGCACTGTCTCTGTCAGTCAATCAACAGATAATTACTCAACACTCACTATGTGCAGGCTCTACAAAAGGGTAAAGAGAGCCCTCCTCCCAGGGGAATCCTGGCATCTAGTGGAAGAAGCATGGGCTTTGGAGTTACATCTTGACCTAGCCAAAATTTCACTGTGAAGGTATTTTATGCTATCAATTTGTTTGATGATTCACAGAAAGAGAGGAAGTTTTTGAAATAGAAGGGTAATTAGAAAGAACTAGGCTAACCATATTATTTCATACCAGGGTACCTCAGAGGATTCCTGTTTTAATGAATAAATAAAAATGATGTGCAATTATCATATCAATTGCTTGCATCTAAGTGAGTACTTCTGGAGTTATTTGATGGTGCTTAAAAATCTTTGGTCTCTGAAGTGTGTTTAATGTCTCCTTACCTCTTATCTATATTATTAATTTGCAGATCAAAGTTAACTTGGTGTTATCAAATGAGGAAACTTCAAATGAATGAGATTTTACTGTAAAATTTTAAATTCATATTACTTGTAACAGAACAGCAATACATTTTGAGGACATGTGTCAACATATCTAGAAGAGCCATCCACTAGAGCTCTCTGTAATGATGGAATATTCTGTAGCTGTGCTGTCCAGAGCAAGTAGCTGCCAGCCACATCTGGCTATTGAGCACTTGAAATGTGGTTAGTGTGACTGAGGAACTGAATTTTAATTTGTATTGAATTTTGATGAGTTAAAACTTAAATCTAAACTTAAATCCATGTGTGAGGAGGTGGGTCAGTTGGGTAAAAGGGGTCAATTGTATGGTGAAGGATAGAATTGGTTTTAGTGGTGAATGTAAAGTCATATCTACAGATGTTGATTTATAATGAGGTACTCTTGAAACTTACATAATATTACAATGCAATGTTACTTCAGTAAAACACTATAAAAATAAATAAATATGCAGTCTTACATGGTTAGTGTCTACCTTATTTGGCAGTGTAGGTTTAAAGAAAAAGTGAGGGCCTCTCTGGTGGTTCAAGGGGTTAAGATGCAACCTATGAAGCTATCGGCAGCCACTGCAGCAGGAGTTTGATCCCCAGCCAGGGAGCTACTCACATGGTGCAGCAGACCTCTCCTGACTCGCCCGCTGCTCTCCTCAGCGGTGTATTTCAGTCCTTCTGCCTGTTCTGCTCCCCACTCTGTTTCTGGTGAATCCTCTTACCCCCCACATCTCTGGCCCAAACCCCAGTTTTTGTATGCATAAACAAGTAAATCTTAAAAAAATATAAAAGAAAAAGTGAAATTGGATTCTAAGAAACTGAATACTGGCCCTATCCTTACTACCATGAACAATTTATTTAATCTCTGTGAGCTTCAATTTTCTCACTTTAAAGTGAGGATATAAATAGTATATACCTCACAGGATTTGGGATAAGAGAAGTAGAGATAATGTTCAGGCATTCTCCTATTTCCAAAAAAGTACCAATCAAATATTAAAGACTAAAATGTGGAGAATGAATAACCCATTCTCGTTTAAAGGGAGTTTCCATTCCTAGAGAGTTCAAAATATGATTAAATTTGTAAATCTCCTCACTGTTCGGTCACGGTACTTCGTGACAATGAAGCAGAGAAATCACATCATTGCTAGGAAGCTTTCTCTGGTCTTAATAACTTCACAAACCCTTGAGTCCTTCTTACCCATTTGGTCCCATGCCTAAGCTTTTATCCTCCAGCACTCAGTTGGGTTAACAAGGCTCCACTAAAATGGATATTCCCCCCCTCCAAAGCCCACAAGTTTGTCTCTCTTCTGTGATCATTGCATTGCAAAGAATTCAATAATGAGTATTCTGATCAGCATTTTGTGACTTTTATACCAGGACAATTCTCATTTTATAGAATAATGAACAATGTGTTCAAACATTTCTCTAATATCCTCAGGCTCCCATGACATCATTCTTTGACTAGAACTACCTCCATTTCCTTATACTGATTGGACTTTTTTTAGAAAGAGAATTTGTTCCAATCCTAATTCCATCCAGTCAGTTGAGGGGATAAAAAAAAATTAGCTGTGATTTTTCTTTTGTTTGAACTCAAAAATTATTAATAAATGAAGGGATTTTTTTAAGGAAATAAAGAAAAAGGAAAGTGGTGAATTTTACAGTGTAATTTTGGCACGAACTGTGGCTTTAAAGCCACATAATATAGGGCCTCCCTGGTGGCGCAAGGGGTTAAGACACAAACTATAAAGCTATCAGTAGCCACTGCAGCACGAGTTCGATCCCCAGCCAGGGAGCTACCCACATGGCTCAGCAGACCTCTCCTGACTCACCCGCTGCTCCCCTCAGCAGTGTGTTTCAGTCAATCTGCCTGTTCTGTTCCCCACACTGTCTCTAGTGAATCCTCTCACCACCCACACCTCTGGCCTGTACCCCAGTTCTTGTATGCACAAATAAAATCTTTTTTTTAAAAAAGAAAAAATAGCAATTCATCTATCTAGATAGCATTATATAATTTTATTTTTTACAGATTTATTTACTTATGTGTACAAGAACTGGGGTACAGGCCAGATTTGTGGGGTGAGAGAGGATTTACCAGAGACAGTGGGGAACAGAACGGGCAGACTGAGTGAAATACACTGCTGAGGGGAGCAGCGGGGAGACAGGAGAGGTCTACTGCACCATGTGGGTCAGCTCCCGGGCCAGGGATCACTCATGCTGCAGTGGCTGTGGATAGCTTCATAGTGTTGCAACTTAACCCCTTATGCCAGCAGGGAAGCCCCCAATATATAATTCTAAAAATGTTTTCCATATGTTACATATTATTATTTACATAGCATTAATCAAGCCCCTACTATATAATAGATGATTTAAATACCAATGTGTCTAATCCTAACAACAATTCTTGAAATGTTATGATAGTGCTCATTTTACAATTGGAAAAAAATAGAGGCTACATGAGTCCCCAAAGTCACACTAAGATTAACCTCCCATCCCCATTAAAATGCGAGCTTCACAAGAACAGCATCTCTGGCATCTAGAATAGTACCTGGCATGTAGTAGATGCTAAATAACTATTTGGTGAAGAATTATCCAAGTAGACTGATTCCAAAGCCTCAGCCCTGTCCATGACATCACCCACTACTCTGCAAATGGTCTTTGGAAGCATCCAGAGAAAGAAGTACACCTCTTTATATCTATGAAGAGGTGAGAGCTGGGGAGAGTAATAAGCCTACAGCTCACAAGGGTCGCTGGGCCAGTACTAAAGTTCAAGGTTCCAGATTCCTAGAAGTATTTTCTTTTGGCTATTCTGCAGAGAGACTGTGAGGCAGAGACAAGTTGTGGTTCACTTCTTTCCCCCAGGAAAGTCCAGGGCACCTGGCTTGGAGTGAAACAGTTAAGACAGAATTACATCCACTACTGTTTGCCTGGAGACCAAAAGGCGACTTGATGCTGAAAGAAAGTTCCATCCCTAAACACATGGCTAGGCATTGGGGGGTTACCTTATTATTTACAACAACAGAATCTGATGTTTTGAGATAGCGCTAGTCTTATGGCAAAGTCTGATTTCTCTTTTTGAATATCCTAAGAGGAAAGGAGAATATTTTCGTCGTGAGTATGACTCTATTCATTAGCAGGGGTCCATTTTACACTCACAGATACACAGGACTTTACTATTCATATCTACTTCGATATTCCAAGGGGCAAAAAATCAAAAAGAAAGCGTCCACACACAGTACCTTGTGCCTGAATCTGGAAGTGCAATTGTCCCCGGTGTCTTCCTTCACGGTGCGTTCCTGGTGGCCTACCATGTCTGCTCCTGATCCACTTTCCTTCTTTTCTAGAGGCTTCTGTTCCCTTGGGAGTTATCTTCAGTCACGGGATGAAATTTTTTTCTCTCTGGACTTAGGGAGCACTTGACTAAAGGTTAAACTTGAAGATAGGCTCAGAGGAGGTAGTTGTACACCAGTGATCGAATAAGCAGACATTTAAGCTGGTGGGTGCTCTTTCTTTATCTACCACAAGCCTCCTCTTGTCTGTGCTGGGCCATTCGTTGTTCATTGACAATTGCTGTGCTCTGGCCTGGTGCTATGATGGCCTCTTGTGAAGGGACAGGCAGGTTGTGGTGAAGCTGCCCTCTGAACAAGGCCATTGTTACATCTCCCCTGTTCCTCGCTGGAGCTATGGCAACACATTCCGTTGGTGAATTAACTATGTCATTGTGTGCCAGCTCAACTGGTTATGCTCCTGGAATGACAAACATCTTTTTTTTTTTTTTTTTTTTCAAGATAAAAAGTGGTCAAGGCCTTCAAGTACTAATATCCAATTCTACACTTTCTTTAAATAGAATAAAGCTGGAGAAAAATAAGTCTCTCAAACGTACTTTGATTCTAATAAACATTTTATCTCTCTCAAAGAGCTCTTCCAAGTACCATTGATAACGAATTTATACATTTTATCAAAGCAGAATCTTCATTTGTGTTAAGGTTATTTCCCCAAAGATAGCAGTGCGTGTTAAAAGAACTTTTTAAAGAAGCATGTACTTCGGTTTTTCTAAGGGGGAAAAAAGGTTCTTTTGAAATCTGTCTGCATCAAAGTGCTATGGGAACTTGGTCTCTGCCTATGAACGGGGTTCCCTGCCTCAGCTGAGAGTGAGACCCACCTCCATCTAAGTCCACCGGAGCCTAGTGAAGATTCCCTGTGGCCCCAGCTAGCAGGAAGACTCTGAAGCACTTCCTCTCACACACTCCAATCTCCAGGATGCTCAAGCTTGCTCTGATTGGTGGGAGGATCTTTTTCAACCTTTCTGCTCATCCCTTTGCTCTCACTTTGTTGGTCCAGATGCTGTGCCAGCTGAGGGGGGTGGGGAGCCTGTCCATGAATCCAACCGAGGTCCTGTGGAGCGTGCAGTCACCTTTTCCAGCAGTCCTTGCAACTCTGGGTTAGAGTTGCTCCAAAGAGTAACTTGCCTGAGGGGGCCTCCCTGGTGGTGCAAGGGGTTAAGACACAACCTATGAGCTATCTGCAGTCACCGCAGCACAAGTTCCATCCCTGGCCGGCCAGGAAGCTACTCACATGGCAAGGCAGACCTCTCCTGTGTCGCCCGCTGCTCCCCTCAGCAGTGTATTTCAGCCAATCTGCCTCTTGTGTTCCCCACTCTGTCTCTGGTGAATCCTCTCACCCCCCACCACTCTGGCCTGTACCTCGGTTCTTGTATGCATAAATAAATAAATCTTTTAAAAAAAAGAAAAAAAGAGTAACTTGCCCAAGCTGTGGGAGGCAAGAATAAAGCAACCACAGTTACCTTCTGATGTTCGTCATGGTTGGGTGTGGTGACAGAGGCAGAGGTAACAGCAGGTCCCAGGTTGACCTCATTCTCCTTCACTTTGTTCAGAGCTTCTTCCCAGCTGCTCACCTTGTAGACTAATGGCATCGCTCGGTCCACCCACTGACATTTGTGTAGCCCCTCAGAGGTAGCATCAGCTTGTTGTCACTTCTGTCTGGGCTTTCTCCTCCACGTGGGCAGCTGGAGGTGCTGCCAGGTGGGTGGGTGTCTTCTTCCATCTTCCCCTTCTCCTTCCATCTTCCTTCTTCCCCTGTCTCCTTCCACAACAGGCCAGGTCTATTTCCTATAATACATCCCTTCCTCCACAGCTCAAAGTGGTTCTGCTTCCCTGGCTGAACTTGGACTGACACACTTGTTTTTCTAAATGATACTGGTATTAAGAGACAATCCTCAGCAGGGGAGTACTTTAGAGGGCAATAAGAAGAAAATCCATGGAACTTGAGTCTAGAAGCCACCGAGGAACCCAAGGAATTAGATGTTGTGTTTGTATCAGACCTCGCCCCACCCTATGGCCCTCACCCTGCTGTCTGCTTTCAAATCCAAGCCATTTTTGCATATACTTTTTCCTTCTTCTTTCTTATGACTGCCCCTCATTCTCATTCTTTTTTTTAAGATTTATTTGGTTTTTTTTTGTTGTTGTTGTTGTTTTTTTTTCTTTTTTCTTTTTAAAGAGGCATGTATTTTATTCATTCATTCATTTGTTTGTTTGTTTATACAAGCACTGGGTACAGTCAGAAGCACGGGAGGGTGAGAGAATTCACCAGAGCCAGAGCGGGGAGCAGAAGGACCGAAGTACACTGCTGAGGGGAGCAGCGGGCGGCAGGAGAGGTCTGCGGGCCATGTGGGACCCTCCTCTGGTGGCCGGGGAGCAGCCGGGGATCAAACCGGCGCCGCAGAGGCCGCTGGCAGCTTTGCAACCCAGCGCTCAACCACTGCACCACCAGGGAGGCCCTTTAAGATTTATTTGTTATTTTTATACAAGAACCGGGGTACAGGCCAGATGCGCAGGAGGGAGAGGATTCACCAGAGACAGAGCGGGGAACAGAACAGGCAGACTGATGAAATACACTGCTGAGGGGAGCAGCGGGCGGGACAGGAGAGGTCTTCCGCGCCATATGGGACCTTCACCCGCCAGGCGGGATAGAACTCGCTCTGCAGAGGCCGTGGACAGCTTCACAGCGCTGCGCTCAACTGCCTGCGCCACCAGGGAGGTCCCTCATTCTCATTCTTATCCCCCACAGAACATCTCCACAAAGAGGCTGGGAATGGTCATACAAGGTAAGCCACACTCCAGGGGTGGGTTCCAGGTAGGAAACTAAAAGAGGAAAAAAAAAACCAAGTCGTGGGCACATTATTTCTCTCAGAGCAATTCACCATTGAAACAATGGCCCAGCTCACGCAACACGGATTGACTCAGCTGTCAAGGAAGAATCACCCACCTCTATTTGCACTGGTAGTCTCTTCTCCGTAATGGAAAAATCACTCTTGTGTCATCAAGACCCAAGGGTTCACAAGAGAGACTTGTTTTGAAATTGCTTCTTGTTGTCATCTCTTAGAATAACAGTGCATTTGATTATATTTCCAAGCTTCTTGTCTCACATCCAAAAGAATCACTGCCAATCCAGTCTCTCAGTTAATTCCTGCTTAGAGTAGGTGATTATTTGTCATGAGCAGGAGAAAATTGAGAGGATAGATTTTGAATAATTTTGACTGTAAAGCAAATAGAAGAGACAGGGTTACCAACATGACTGTAGTCAAATGTAACATTGTGATGATGTGGTCATGAATGGACGGCATATGTGATGGGGGTCCCTAGATTTAGCCTCGCTCTGGAGCAATCTTTGCCATTTGGGTTTGTATAAGTACACTCTGTGACCTTTGCACAATGACAAGATCATTGTCATTAGAAAGTACCTGGTTCTAAGTGATATATTTACATATGGTATTTTCCTTTTTTTTTAAGATTTTATTTATTTATGCATACAAGAGCTGGGGTCTAGGCCAGAGGTGTGCAGGGTGGGGGGATCCACCAGAGACAGAGTGGGGAACAGAACAGGCAGACTGACTGAAGTACACTGCTGAGGGGAGCAGCGGGCGAGACAGGAGAGGTCTCCTGCGCCATGTGGGTATCTCCCTGGGCGGCCGGGGTTCAAAATCGTGCTGCAGAGGCTGCAGATTGCTTCATAGTGCTGTGTTCAACCCCTTGCACCACCAGGGAGGCCCTACATATGGTATTCTTACAGACCTAGCCAGGTCAATCAATTAAGCTGTGTATCCTTGGCTTGAGGAGGTGTCTATTATCTGAACATTTATTGGTGGATTTCTGGGATCTTCTGTACCTTTGAGAGTCTCATGAATGAAAATGGTCTCTGGAATCCTTATTAACAATTCCCTGTGGTTTACGAAAAGGGGCTTTCCGGAGCTCTGACACCAGTGGCTGTGGGTGGAGCCTAGATGCCTGCCCAGGCTCACTGAGCTGCAAATAGGTGAGCTGAAGATCTGAGCTACCCTGTATGGCACATTGTGTGAATTAGAAAATGGTGCTCCCAGGGGGCCTCCCTTGTGGTGCAAGGGGTTAAGCGTCAGCACTATGAAGCAATCTGCAGACTCTGCAGCACGATTTCGACCCCTGGCCGGCCAGGGAGCTGCCCACATGGCGCAGGAGACCTCTCCTGTGTCGCCCGCTGCTCCCCTCAGCAGTGTTTTTCAGTCAATCCACCTGTTCTGCTCCCAACTCTGTCTCTGGTGAATCCCCCCACCACCCCCACCGACCCCCACACCTCTGGCCTGGACCCCAGTTCTTGTATGCATAAATAAATAAATCTTTAAAAAAAAACAAGAAAATGTTGCTCCCTATGGTGGAGGACTTATAGTGCCTTGGTGGTGGGTGTGGTGTGGTAACACACCGGATCCTGCACCTCTAAGTCATATACAGTGCTGTAAACCAATGTTACTGCAATAAAATGAAAGAAAGGAAAGAGGGAGGGAAGGAAGGAAGGGAGGGAGTGAGGGAGGGAAAAATGGGGCCCACTCTGGACTGATGCAAGACCGCTTTGTGAGCAGAGGGAGGACTGCATTTTAGCCCCCATTTTCCCACTCTTTGGGGAGTCTTTGCAGTCCTTGAACCTCAGCGAAAGAGGAGTTGTTGGGAAAGCAAAACATATCAGTCCCATCACAGGAATTAAACACTTGGATTGGGGGGCAAGGATCTCAGTGGTCCAGGAAGTATTCTTTTTTTTTTAAAGATTTATTTATGCATACAAAAATTGGGGTACAGGCCAGAGATGCGGGGGGGGGGGTTTGAAAGGATTCACCAGAGGCAGAGTGGGGAACAGAACAGGCAGATTGACTGAAATACACTGCTGAGGGGAGCAGCGGGCGAGACAGGAGAGGTCTGCCGCGCCATGTGGGCAGCTCCCTGGCAGGGGATTGAACTCGTGCTGCAGAGGCTGCGGATAGCTTCATAGATTGTGTCTTAACTCCTTGTGCCACCAGGGAGGCCCCCAGGAGGTATTCTAAACAAGGAGGCTTGGCTAGTCAAGGATGCCTCAGTTCCGGAGTTGGTAAAGCTAAGCTCCTTTTTCACAAACTCCCCAGAGGTAGTCTGTTTGCCTTCGTAGACCTCACTGTTGGACATGGGGTACCCTGGATTATGGCTTTGTGTCTCATGTTCAAGACAGCCCTGCTTTGGCTCTCCTCCTCCAAGGAGTCCACGGAAACAGGCTGCACACCTAGAGACCCTCACCTCCCCCCCTTCTAGAATACTCTGGAATTCCCTGCCCAAATGTCCTCAACCTACTTCCAGGGTTGGCTTCCCTCTCT